CCGCCAACTCTTGGGCTGCTCTTTTTACCAACGAACATGTTTGGTGTGACGGGGATTCGAACCCGCGACCCTCTGATTGCGAGTCGAGCGCCCTAACCACCTGGCCTTGCCCTGTGATAAGAAATATTAGAACCGTTACAATACGCTTGCCAACCACAATTGAATTGCATGTGTATCATATATATAACACGTATAACGTTACTACATTACAATCGTTGTCAAGTAAATTATGACATATTTCGTTCTCTAGGTTGTTATGTGTTCTTTTCAGCGCTTTCTTGGCATAATGCTCGGAGAACACTAACCACGTTTGTAGCACCTCTAAAATTATTGTTATCGGCTTTGAAGCAAGCCGTGCGGGTAGTAGTTAATATTTCATTTTCTGAGAAGGGAAAGAAAGAACATTTCTTACGAATTTGATATTTCACGTTGCGCCTCTCTCTCTCGTAATAAGCTTAATACTCAACCAATCGCCGCTCTGGCTTCCAGACAACTCCCTGAAGTTTAGCTCTCGTGCTGGGCACGTGTGTTTGCAAAATACATGTAATGTTTCTTTACCTTTTAGCTTTTCCGGAAATCAGTGGCTATTTTTACCACAAAGTTAAAATAAAGAGACGTAAGCAAGAGCCCAAATCATGCAATATGAAACAGTAACAGTTAAAAAGCAAATCAGTAAGCATACTTTATAATACTATGTATAGATTTTCAGGATCAACGCAGTTAATATTTAAAAACAACAAACATTTAATCTTGTTGCGTTAGATTGTTAGCGCAAACCTACACGATGGACTATCTACGCTTTATCTACTACGGGTACCCCCGATTTTAGCATGGTAAGTCCGTAAACTTACTGCTGGTCCACCAGGGAACGCTATGTTAGTAAAATTTTTAATTATTCTTAGGATCTTTATGACTTCTTGGATCTTAGTGGTCTTCGCATGATGTATAAAAATATGTGAACAACGTTAATTGGTTGATGTAAAAAAAAACCCTTAGTGGACCTAGTACAAAAATTCTTAGTGGACATGGGTGTTAAGTTAAATATGTAAAAAAAAAACCTCTTCGTGGCCTGGCAGGGTGTATAAGAAGGTGTTAGAAGGCTGAGAAACACTGAATGTCCGATTTTGTTCTAAAATATATAGAGCCTTAAATACTCGTTTACACCGAAAAGTGAGAATTTATGTAGTGATAAAATTTCGCCCAGTCGACTTCCGCGATGAAAAGCGCTTAATGTCTCCTTGCTAACGTTCTCTCTCATCTTTCTAGCTCGAAACTACGGCTTATCTTTATCTGCTTATTATATTAAATTTGTTCTGCTATTATATTTCTCATTAAACTGTTTGTCAAAAACACGGCGTGGGTAACTAACTACACAATATATTGCTGAAATATAATAATATTAAAACCAGTGTTCTGTAAGATTCTGTTGAGCGGCTCTGTCTAGTCAAAGCTATTACGTCGACAAATGTGGATAAAACACTATTACAAGTAGCGTCGTAATCAACTTGGCTCTAAATGCCATTTACTAATTACAATTTACAAACACAGAACTTCTCGGTATTAATTTAAGATTTCGTACATTCGATATGTTAACTATACCCTTTCAGCTGTGAAAGAGTTATATTGTGACGGTCAGTCCCACTATTCGTTGGTCAAAGGTAGCTCAAAAGTTGGTGGTGCTGACTAGCTCTGCCTTTCCTCTGATCTATCACTTCAAAATTAGGAACCGCTATGCGCAGATAGATAGATAGCCCTTGTACAGCTTTGCACAAAAGTTGTAGAACAAACAAACAAGCTTTCAACTATAGAAACTTTGTTTCGATGTTAAAGTTTTCTCAAAATTATTAGAGGGCTATCTGTGCTAGACGGGCCTAATTTAGAAGTGATAGATCAGAGGAAAGGCAGAGCTAGTCAGCACCACCAACTTTTGAGCTAACTTTTAACCAACGAATAGTGGGACTGACCGTGGGTATTTATTTGTTTGTTTGTAATTAAGCACAAAGCTACACAATAGGCTATCTGTGCTCTGCCCACCATG